TTTATTGTTTGTTTGGCACTCATCAGCCAAAAAACGTTCAAATGTTGTATTGTCATCAAACCTAATTACTTTGAAAGTTTTTAGACCTGTGATATATTGATACTAAATTAAACGTTTACTGGCCATTTGGATTTTTATTAGCGACAATAACTTGACTGATTTAACATATTATAGTGTTGAGGTTCTAATCAAACTGTACGAGGCTATAAAAAATTAACGAACTCAAATGGCCTCAACTAATATATAGAACAACATTATCGATAATAGGATACTAATGGTTTCCGTAGCCTAGATGTATTTAGCATTGCATCTTTTTTTCTAAATGATATCCATCGAGTAGTTCATTCTCAAATTGTTGGAATTTACGTAACATTTAAATGCAGATGCAGAGATTGTTCGAGGTGTTAAGTTTATACGAAAACGGCTTAGTTTCATATTAGGCCTACTTATCACAAATCTCAAAATATACAGCAAGGATAAAGTTTTTTTCTAACGTCGTTAAAACTATCTAAAAGTTATATTCTCCTAATATTACAATAGGAGATCCGCTCGAAACACAAAAGGTGGCATACCTTGTCCCAGGTGCCCTTGTCCTTGTCCTATGGTTAGAAGCAGAAGTTCTCAGAAACCTACAGAAACGTTCTGCCTATGCCTTGAGCCTGTCGTTTTTCAAACTCGATTATTCCTGACATTTCCTCGTGAATACCAGAAAGTTTTGTGCAGTTAAATTGACTTAGCCTATATTTAATTTATCGTCCATTATTTGTCTGCATTGTTATAACGTGTTTACTTTCAGAGTTTATATTTTTTTTAATGGCTTAAATCTGCTAAATTTTAGTTACATGCTAACTCATTTATGCGACGCGACATATATTTATGTAAAAAAGTAACTCACTTTAACTGTTGGCCGAATCGTTAGATAAACAAATAAATACGTATCTTAAATCCCCTATATTTACCAAAAACTAATGTTTTCACAAAAACCAAACACCTACTAGTTTTCAAAACTACAGCAAATTTTGCCAAATAACCAACAACTCGGCGATAGATAAGTTATTTCATTGGTTCCGCCCACTTTATCAGCTGTTCTTTGTTTACCAGCAACATCTGGCAAACCTAACCTCGCATATTTGCAACAGTCGAGCGGTAAAAACATATGATTTGCTATTAGGCTTGAATACAATCATAGCTTGGAACAAAGATTTTGGAATATAAGTTTATCTATATTTTAATGGGTTTCCACTAAATGATAGAATGAATGGACATAGTCAAACTATATCGTAAGGTTCGGTTTTGTCAGGAGATGTACTGTAAATAGTGATCAATAAAGTACGTCAACAAAGTAATATGATAGTAACCAATTAATTAAGTGTTTCTAAAAGTGCATGTCCATAGTTTTGAAATGTAGGCAAATGCAAAGATGGTTTCATTGTGTAAGTTTTCGTCCTAATCGTATTGATATTCCTAAGTATAAAATGTTAACTATACAACTAATGCATATTGATCACAATTAATCAACCCAAACTACCTTTGGGCAACTCCAAACAAGAATATTGCGATGCTCACGCACGATAACACGGTAAACAAACCACTAAATCACAAGAAAACTGCGCAGAATCCATCCAAAATCACAGGAAACTAGCACAAAAACAACACAGTAGCACAAACGCGCTGAAAACACGGCGAATTCGTTAATCCAAAAGTCTTGTAAAGGAAAACATCCGGTAGAATACAATCGCGCCGGTCGACTCGCTCGACGAACGAACATAACATACCTCTCCCCCCACCACGACAACAATAAGGCTTCCCCCTCCCCGCCACGACGCTACCTGCAGCTAGGCATGCAGAGGTACGGTAATTTGTCGTCTGGTACCATAATTTAGCTGCGCGTGATCACGGAATTGGGTAATGTATGGGGGAAATTAATGAAAGTGAAATTTCGAGTTTGATTGTTGACCAAATAAGCTGAGCGTTGAACGAGAAGTGAGGTTGAGTAAGAATGATGTGGTTGTATGTAGCAAATGCATGGTTTGTATATTTGTTTTAATTAGTGAATTATACTAACTTAGTGATTGATGTAAAAACGCAGTTATCCTTGATCGCTGAACTTAAAGGGTGGATCTGGATTACTGGATTATAGAAAAGCTTATCTTGGACTTAACAATACTAAAGCCACTTCAAATCTACTTATCCTGAATTCAATTTACGATTTCAAAAACGTATAGGCTAACACAAAGTACACTAAAACTATTAAATGATACTGATACAACTGAACTAAAAATTTACAATAGATTATAAAGCACGATTAATATGGAAGTAGTCTTCTATAATATTGCATTCTTCTGAAAATTGTCCAACCCATGTTTTTCACATGGGGTTATCCACCCGGTGTATGAGGAATAACATCACGTCTGGCGACAAAAACTCTCCACAATGTGCTTTGTTCGGTCCTGATCTCCTGTCGTCCTGTGGACTGTGGAGAGTCGAAAATTACTCATATGATAGATTTCATATTTATTCAGCGTTTACTCGAGTGTAGGGTTTTCTAGTAGAATTTCGAACTCGTTCGTCTATTGTTGAGTCAAGTACAATCAATTTACTGTTGATCTAAATGACCATTCATCATCACAGTTTTGAGTTTTCTCAAAGACGGATCGCAAAGAAGAAGTGTGGATACCAAGAGTTTGTTTGCTATAAACTTGCCTGAATCCCTTTCTTACCATGTCAATGAGATGGACACGTTTTTAAGGTAGGTATATTCGTAGAATTTCAAAGTGAGAATTTGATCACTTACAGAGAATTTGATCACATGCAGATAAATTCAATCACAACCGTTCATACTGACCACTCGTTGACTTTCAAGTATTTCATTTCAAACGTCAAATCCATTCATTATGAAATAAATAAATTTATTTTTTATCTTTAAAGTAATTCAATCTGACTACCCACAACCAAAGAATATGACATAGTTGGAAAAATTTGGTATATTGTCATTGTGTCACAGAAAACATACACTAGTAGGTACTACTGTTTAGTAGTATGTTTTACTTTGCTTGTGTGTAGTAAAATAATGTCGTACATTCAGCCAAACTCCCCAAAACGGACTACCAACACCGTAGACCCAAATCAGGCGTCAGGTGGTAGAAGGCCCTACTACACCTGTCTAGGAGGAAGGTGCTTGACAATACAGAGGGTACAAAGCTATTCAAGAATGCAGGTGGGGTCCTCGCCCCCCCCACCTTACCTGTGGCTCCCAACCCCTTGGCATGGCTACCAACCCCCGCTTCGCTCACTTCCTCATACCAACTGTCAGGGGCTAAAATAACTCGTTTCAAATAGAGGTAAACACCGTAAATTAAAGGCGTCTTCATGTTCGATTGCCTTGTGATCTGCTGTGGTTGATTTCCCAAACACAGAGAGGGGAGAGAAAGACAGAGATAGAGAGGGTAGTTGGGCAGTAAATAAAATTTGTTTGTTTTTTTCCATAGTTCGTTTTTATATTTGTACCATAGTAAAATACTTATGTATGCTAAAAGGCTACATTGCAAATATTTGACAAGAATGATCATTGAGCACACGATTGTCAAATGTAAAATTAATTTCAAAAGATTCATGATGTTTATCTCTCTTTGTTAATGAAGTCTTGAATTGGCTACAGCATGTATGGTCCGAACTGAATTACTTTGTAGGCCTATGCAAAAACTATTTGTTCACAAAAAAAAGCTCGTTGAAACAAATAAAAACTTATTCACTTATTTTTAACCCTAATGTGTATAGGCCTTTCCCAAAAGTTTAAATTCTCCCTCAAATTCACCTCTAAAATCAGCATTGAGTTGGCCGAAGAAAATGTAATCGTAATAAGTACCATGTACTTAAAAGCTAGCATTCGTGGGAACAAAGCTTGTTAAAACCCCAACTTTTCGAGGTTTTGGAAAAATATCTTTTTCAACCCTGTACTTCCAACCACGATTACTAGGTATTTTCTAGTAATCGTGCTTCCAACCAAAGGAGGAGGTTCTTTTTTCGTTTGTGGCAATGTTTATTTAAGTTTACCGTCGAAACGCTCTAGATTTCACCTGGGTTGTCAATAAATAAATTTGTCACATAAACAAAGATGCTTGTGAATAACTTATTCACTTTGTTTGAAATGTGTCTTTTTGAATTACGTTTAGTTTCAAAACGTCGAATATTTCCCCCGATTTTCTCTTGTCCTAGGAGGTTGTGTGATTTGTAGGTTCCTTATATTTCTAGCACACAGAGCATGCAAAAATGAACGCAACAGGTTTTTGTAAAGCTGTTTTCCACTAAAATCTCTTCAGAATGTCAATATTTCCCGAGATTAGTCTCTGTTTGGAGCCTCAAATTGACCATAGCACATGTGGCTTGACGTGTAGCGAATGGTCGGGAGACTTGGCAACATCGCACATACCTGGACCAGTGTCCTTCCAGCCGTATACAAATCATCCTTGAACCTTCTGTCTTCCAATCAAAAGACAAGTCGACCCTTATGACTGCAAAAAGGAAAAAGGTGTGCACGTTTTATATTGCACTGTTTACGTTTATTGTCGAGTTAGATGTAGAGCATACCAAAGATTAAAGGTGTCGACTAGAAGACATATACTCTTTAATCGAATCACCCTTGAACACAATCTGTCTTCGAATCAAAATTTGTTTAAAGGCAATCATCGATCCTTATGGCTGCTGAAGTATGCAGTGATTTTGCGCCGTAAATTAGCCTGCTGTTTATGTTAAACTATCGTGTTGGATACCACAAAAAAAATTGCAGAGTCAGTTTTTCTCTAAGTCTTATTTGACAAAAGTATCAACTTCAACAGATTATCACGATTTAAAAATGTTTGTGACATATTCATATGAATGAGTAGAGTATTGAATTATTTTTAATTTTTTGGTAGATAATAGCCACCATATCAGTGCTTCGCTAGCACAAAGGAACACTTAAAGATAATCAAGTTACTATACAGTATAACAACTCTACTCACCTAGCAGCGCTGTCGTCAGTGACGGAGAGACCTCGGTGGTTTTCGACGATAGCGGTGGTTTTTACTTTTGTGTCTGTAGGCGTAACATCCTGGCCGATGAGCACCTCTGTACGACCCGGTGGGGCGGGTGCCTGGGCTGGCGTCGGGGCAGAAGCCGGGGGTAGCTCCTGGGTCAGTTCTAGGTCCTGGGTGGGAGGAGCCCCGGGACTGCTGGCTGTAGATGGTTTGGCGGTGGTTGTGGAAGTGGTGGTCTGGCTCGGCGGATAGGCTGTCACGTAGATCGGCGTCTTCTCTATAAAACCGTTCGCTTGCTCTGACTCTGACTTGGAAGTGGCTTCTTTGTTCAGCTGAAACAACAGAGAGATTGTTATTGTTTTATCTTTGGAAAATTCGAGCAATGGGAATGGTCGTGCATTAATTGTGCCAAAGAGTTCCTTAATTATACCTCAAAATGTTCCTTAGTTGCGCCAAGCCCAAGCCAGGCAGGGCTGAGATGCCGACAGAAGTAGGTAATGTCTTTGTTTACGTGTCATCCTAACCTAACCTAACTTATCCTAACCTAACCTAACATAACATAACCTATCCTAACCTAACCTTTCCTAACCTAACCTAACCTGACCTAACCATACAGTCAAAGAGGGCCGTCACTTGGCTTGGTTAAGGAACGTATCGGGTGGCTCCCTGGAGTAGGTAGCGCAATTCAGGAATACCCGACCACCTGACTCAGGGCGCAATTAATGCCCACCCTTGGGAATGAGGTTGCAGTTAAGAATTTCCCAACATGAAAGCTTAAAAATGCTTAATGGTTTAGTATGCGATTATCCTTACTCACTACTATTAAATTTCTTTTTAGACAACACTTTTGAAATGCGCGCTTCAAACTGAATTATATGAATGCTGGTACAGATATTTGCGATTAATACATAATTGTATCTTATGAGAACACATTAAATAATTGTCACGCAATAACGAATCTGAGTCACGATGAATAACTTGAGCCAAAGTTGGGTCTTGAGTCTTGACACAATGCAGAGTCCAAGTTATAACCCGGGGCTGACTCTAGGGACTGGAATTGTGGCAGACCTTCCCTCCAAACACCCGAGACTTGCATCAAATATGACGCTATTCTGTCCAACACGACCCTTCTCCAGATTCTTTACATGTTGAACGAAGAAAAGTTTTTTCTTGATCGGTCAGATGATAATATGTGGATATTGAATGTCGCTGCATTAATCTAATGTCGGGTGTTACGAACTAAGTGTGATTTGAACAAATTAAAACATTACTAGATGTTAAAATACCTTATAATCCGTCAATGTGATCATGTCACCGATGAAAGGCGAACGGTTTCAACCCATGAAAGGGGTTATCTTCAGGCGAAGAATGAACACATAATTACTGCGAAGCGGTCGTCGAAAAGTCAATACTAAACGAAGAACAGTTACACCTAAACACATTTTTGACTAAAAACATGTGTGGCCACAAATCGAATCAAATTGACGGATTATAAGGTATTTTAACCCCTAGTAATAATTTATATTGTGACCAGGAGGCAAAAAACAACAAAAATGAAACTAAAACAACCTATAAAACTCCTTGGATGAAATGTAATTAAATTCTATCCACAACTGTGCGCCAGATTTTATTTTCTTTGACGAATAGAATATAACTTCTTCCTCTTCGAAATTTCCAAAAAAAATACCTCTTTTCTTCTCTGAAAATTCCTTGTGAGTTAATGAAATTTGTTATAGTTCAAATTTCCAATCCATCGAAAACCAACTACCAACGCACCAATTGTACCCGTAAAAGAAATCAGGAAATGGTTTTGTTCCGAATAAAAGAAACGAATGGAATCTGAACCATCAGTAGAGACAGTGTATAGAAAGTACAGTATGGCCTACAACTCACATAATGCTGTGACAATACGTCACCTTCACCATCATCAGATCATTACAGGCTAATGGTATATGAGGAGAGATACATGGGAATGGCGGTTTGAAAAGACGCCGAGGATGAAACTGAAGATAATTTGGTATAAAAATATAAACTATTTACAGTATAAGCAAATGCGGTATGTATAAAATCATAATGAATTTCTAACATACAAATGTGTACAGATTATGTCATTATGGTTTGAATGCGTAAGTAAGGTCAGGGGAATTCATACTACTTGTTCAAATCCCTGACGAAAAATTAGATACTGACTAACGACTGACAGTTTTGACAGACCGTTTAACGTTTTGCTACATTATAATGGCACACTTTTCATTGTAACCCTGACTTTAAATTACAATATACGCGTGTAAAATCATTAGTCCACAACAAATACAATCGGAGTCATCAGTTTTATTGTATTACAATGACACAACTTGAAATGCGTATAATTATAATTGGGAGGTTGGTAATGTACTGAAGACAACGAATATCTCCAACGCAGCAGTTTTATTGGTTGCAAATACACGCATTGTATAAATCCATCTGACCTGAGTCAGGTAGTCGGGTATCCCTGAATTGCGCCAACTACTCCAGGGAGCCACCCGATACGTTCATGAACTGCGCCAAGTGGCGGCCCTCTTAAGCTGAATACTTAAGTAAGTTAAGTTAGGCTAGGTTAGGTTAGGTTAAGTTAGGTTAGGTTAGGATAGGTTATTATAAGGAATGACACGTAAACAAGGTCATTCCTTCTGCGGGCAACTCAACCCTACCTGGCTTGGGCTTGGCGCAACGAACCAAGGAACATTTTTTGGGACCCTTTGCTGGCTTGGCGCAATTAAGGAACTCTTTGGTGCAATTAATGCACGGCCAATAAAACTATATTCTGAATTCCCATTTTTAACAGATTAGAAAATACTATGATGGATCAAGGTAGTTTGGTTTACTACAGTTAAGTTGCATTTTCTCTTGTTTGTTTCACCTCTATACAAATCCCCCAGAGAGGCAGGGTTGGCACAATTTCAGACATCTTGATAGCCTCATCTCCTTGTTGGCTAGACTCCTACTCTAGTGCATCTTCAAAATCTTTGTGTTGGTGGCATGTTACACTTTGAAACAAAACTACAACACTTGTCTATTCTTGTGTTTGTCGATTTCACGGGTTTCTTCTAGAATTAAAAAAATAAACACTAAACACTAGACAAAATTTTAAATATTAACAAATGATCGTGCCTATTAGTATTAGCATGTTTTATGATGGCTATATTATGATTTAAACGTTGTATAACTTTAAAGTTACATTTTGGGAGAACAGTTTAGATGTGAAGTTTGAGTTTTGAAACTTTACACACCAAACACAGTTTGTTAAGTTGGTAACACCGTCGAAAGTAAGAAATTTCGGGCTTAGGAATTTTACTAAAAAATTAAGTTGGACTAAAGTTTATCAGTGATGTGAAGTATTAAGCTCTCAAAACAAATAAGGAAATACGTAAAATATATATTTACCTAAAAACATTCGTAAATACATGGAAAGAGCTGTTCAGCCTAAAACCATGGTTAGTCTATGCTAAAACTATGCTGCGGTTGTAGTATTCCGACTAGACGGCTTAAACAATGAATTTTCATGTAAAATGTAAAACAATTGATTGATCACGATTGACAGCCAATAAACCCTTAATATATTTTGTTGAAAATGCAGTAGTTCAGTTTGACATTAGATATACAAAAATCTAAAGAGGCTTTGAGTTACGTTTCTATTAGTAGGCTACTTAGCCCTTGCAATTTATACTCTATTCTCCGTATGGAGAATAGTGTATAGTAGGACGATTGGCTATAGAACTTCTGTTAAACAAGGGCTGTCATAAAACATGTATCTAAATACATTTCAAGTTCTTTCCACTAAGAAAATATATTTAAAAAACTCCTCGGGTTTCTGAAAAAGAACTGACACATTTTAACTGCAAATACTGATACCAAATAAGATACTATTTTTAATGTTTTATATATGTATTAAAAGCTGAAGTTCTCAAGTTTTATTAAAAACTTAGTATAACTCGATATTAGCAGTTTACGTGTGCGAGAAACGCTGGATACCCGTTTCGACGATCGGTGGATTGGCAGGGAAAGTGTTACATAATAGTATAGCCTATAATAACTTTATATATAGTAGCCTACCTATGTTATTAAAGGACTCTATGATACATAAGGCTGTGGTGTCGGGTGTACTATTTTTGTAACTCAATGTAAGAAGAACTTATGATGATGTAATAAATGTACTTCAATGCTTAAGCATGGTGTATTAATATTATCCAAGTTAATCTTGTTTAATTATAAATATTACTTAAGTAATATTGAACATGGTGTAGGTGTGGCGTAGGTGTTATTTTTTCATCTACATAACATCGATGTTAAAGACTTTGTTATAGAAATGTAAATGAATTGGAAACTAACCTAACATGGATTTCAAGCCGCCGCGTGGGTTAGTAATTGACGATAATGTTGCTAACAATTGGACATTATTTAAACAAAAGTTCAAAAACTTTCTGCTCGCCTCAGGGAATGAAAGCAAGGAAGACAAGGTGAAAATAGCTATGCTGCTAAATTGCATAGGTGATGAAGGGATAGAAATCTACAACACATTTAAACCCGAAGAAGCTGATACACTGCAGAAGGTAAATGAACAGTTTGATAATTATTTCATGCCCAAGAAGAATGTTGTATATAACAGGTATAAATTTTTTACAAGAATTCAGCAAGAAAATGAATCAATTGAACATTATGTAACTGCTCTGAAGAGTCTAGCAAAGCCGTGTGAGTTTAAAGAAGACGAGGAGAGTCTAATTCGTGATCGTGTAGTGATTGGTATAGTGGATAAACAGCTTCAAGAAGTACTTCTTCGAGAAAGTGACCTAACCTTGACTAAAGCTTTAAATCAGTGTCGAGCCGCTGAACTAAGTAGACAGCAAGCGCAAATAATGCAAGGTAAGGTAGGCCTAAGTTCATATAATAGCATAGGCTTACATGCCATTAATAATACAAGACCTAAGTCGTACAATAATGGAAGAAGTTTTAGTTCTCAGAATAAAGCTAGTAATACTAGGCCTAATCAAAAACAAAGCTACCAGTCTTCTACAGTACGTGAAGATAAAAAGACAGCTCAAACGTACAAGTGTTATAAGTGTGGAACTGAACATTCAAAGGCTAACTGTCCAGCGTACGGAAGAACGTGTAAAAAATGTGGACTTAAGAATCATTATGCCATTGGTTGTCAAAGAAGTGCCAATAAAAGTAAGCCAAATCATAATAAAACTGTTCATGAAGCTAAGCTAGGGTTAGAGGACATGGGAGATATTTTTATAAGTGCCCTATTCCAAGAAGACACAAGTTCACAGTCCAGTCCGCAGCATGCAGCCCA